ACACTGGCATGGGATGCATCAAAGGAACAGTAACTGGATGGATGGAGTGGAGCATGTTACACAGTGTGGTATACCTCCAGGAGCTAGTTTTACTTATATCTTCAATGCATCTCAATACGGTACTCACTGGTACCACTCTCACAGTGGAGCTCAGAGAACTGATGGACTCTTTGGAGCTCTCATTGTTAAAGAGAAGGAGCAAGGTAATGCACAATACACTGCCTTCCTGAACAAGTTGAATGACATGAAGCTAGAACCAAATAAAAATTATTTTGATAATCCTGGTGAACATACTCTAACTTTACTAGACTGGCAGAAGTCAAGCTCGCTGGATCTCTTCACACAAATACAATCAAGTATCAGGTACTTTAACATTGACAAAGCATCAGAACTGCAAGGGAATAGAGCAGCTACAGGTACCAGTTCAACGGACGGAGCATTCATAGGGCCCGTGCCTTATTGGTCTGGACTTATAAATGGAAGAGGAAGAAATAACGATACTGACTACTCTAATTCTATTTTAAGTGAGTTTAATGTCACAGCTGGAAATACATATCGATTTCGTTTAATTGGTGCTCAGAGTCTTTATGCTTATCGTTTCTCAATAGAAGATCATAAATTAACAGTAATAGCAACTGATGGTCAGTTTATTAAACCAGTGATGGTCGATTACATTATAATACATTCTGGAGAAAGATATGACTTCCTTTTGAAAACGAAAGAAGTGACCACCATTCGACAGTTCATGATACGTGCAGTTACATTAAAGTTTACTGCAACATCAACTTATTTAGAAGAACAGTCAGCAGAAGCTATTCTCAATTACAACAGTGTTACTACACCCTCCAGTGACTATGCAGGTATTGCTGAAAGAATTAAAAATGTTAGTCGAAGATGTACTGACGAGTGTGTAGCTCTCAACTGTCCTTTTGAAGAATTTCCAGAGGCTATCAATATTGTCTGTATGCATATTACTGATTTAAAACTGCTAACTGAATATCCTGAAGACCTGCCTACAACTGCTACTGATGACACTACAAGGTTATTCTTTAATTTCGGTTTTGAAGGAACACGTCGAACCAGTTCCATAAATGGACGTAATCTAAAACTACCATCAGCATCACTGGCACAGCTTGAGCCAAATAAACTAACTGATATTGAAAATAATGAATACTGCATGCACCCAAAAAACAAAGAGCCAAATACAAATAAGTGTGATCGTAATAATGAAGTAGAAGTGATATCACCTGATTGCCACTGCACTCATGTTCTTCCTGCAGAGGAAGGAAAGTCCATTGAACTAGTTCTATCAGCTACTGGATCAAAAGAACAAAGAAATAACTATGCATTCGCTCATCCAATACATCTTCATGGTCATTACTTTCATGTCGTTGAAATTGTATTTGGTGAGTATGATGATAATGGAACACTTATAGCTGGTAATGATACAATTGATTGTGGGGATAGTTACCTATGTGTTAGACCTCGCTGGACAAAAAATGAATTTAACAGACGAAAAGAATTGGGTAAGAAGTCAATATCACCTACTGCTCCACTGAAGGATACTCTGTTAATACCAGCTGGTGGGTATGCTGTTGTGTATTTTAAAACTGATAATCCTGGTTGGTGGTTCCTACACTGTCATATTGAGGTACATCAATTGGAGGGAATGGGAGTCATCATTGATGAAGGAGGGAAGAAGACAATACCACCTAAAGGCATGTATAAATGTGGGAATTTTTCACTGACGCCAAACGAGTTTAAAGCAGCAATTAATACTACAGAACGTTCTGTAGATTGCACTCAATGTCCTGAATCATGCCGAAAAAAGAATGATTTTGGAGATCAGAAAAGGCATGAAATATGTAAATGGTATAGTGTTGGTCTTGGAATCTCTGTTGGCCTGTTAGGATTATATGGAATCGCAGTAACTGTGCTTATAATAATAATAATAATTGCATTTGATGAGGTGCGCAACAAAATTTGTTGTTGCTGCTCTATGAATAAGAACAAAAAATAAAAAATGCATTTTTGAATTTTGTCTTCATTATACATGTAAACATAGGCATCGAATGATTTTTGACTTTTGTGTTGTAATATTTTGTCTAACTTTTGTGGTGCAGAGATTTCGAAGGAAAATATACTGTATAAATTAAGCGACAAAGATAGTATCCAATGGCTTGCTGCCAAGTGTGTAGATTAGGTCCACCAAATATGTATACCAGAATATTGTCTTGTAGAGAGTGCATGTATGTACATGTGTCTATTCACTTAGCTTGTTTGGCTACATATGGTCATCCCTGTACACCCCCACAGTCAAATTAACTACAGTATTGGATCAGGGACTCATCTAAAATTATTGCAGTAGTCTCACATAGCTAGACTCTAATTTATGTGCCTACCCAAATGACAGAAAGAGGTGAAGTCCTGGCTGCATGAGACTATAGACTATACTGTGTATACTAATAATGATAATATTAACTGTTGTGTAGTGAGAGTCTAAAGATGTCATTCATTACAAAGAGACCCTCACCAAACTGTTTGAGATTGAAAGACTTGGTAAAATTGAGCAAGGGATTATCATCCATCTTGAATAGGGAGACTTTTTACTTGTTTTGATAATGTTATTGTTTTTTAGTGCGTAACATGTTGCGTGTATGTCAGTTATTGTTTTTTAAAAGTTTTTCCGTTGTGTAAATAACAGTAATGATAGCAATGTAATACAGGTTCAGTTTATAAACACGTCACAAACACAAAACATCCAACCAAAAAAATAGAAGGGAGAGAAGGAGACTATGAGTGGAGCTACTTTAACTTGGGAGGAGTGTGAGGAGCAGCTACTTTCTGGCAAAGGAAGAAACCTTACTCAAGAGCAATGTGGTACAATAATTGATGCTTTAACTGAGCATATTCGAAATGGTGAAGTTGAAAGAAAAAAGATCATAGCTGTATTGGAAGAATTGAAGGAATTAATAAATTCCAATTTTTTTAATAGATTAGATGCAGTGGAGAAAGAACTCAAGGACCAGAATGAAATAATAAAAGATTTGAAGGCAAAATATGAAGACCTGAAGGCTGAATATGAGAAGCTTAAAAAGCTTCAAGATGATCTATTAATTGGTCAAATTGCTCTTTCGTTAGAAAGTAAAATTGTGAAGCGTACTTTACAGGGCACAGGGATTTCAACTAGATTCATCACAATCAAAAATATTGAAGATGCACTTTCTGGACGTAAGCACTACTTTTCTAAGAAAATATTCACAACAGAAGAGCAAAAAGAAGCAGTGCAACGGAACATTGAAAAATTACATGCAGAATTCCCGAGTATAATCGGTTCTGACATGCATAATGTAATCATTCATTACAAGCAGTGCAGGAACCACCAAGCTCACCCGGAGCTTGAAATTGGTGAAATTCGAGCTCGTTTAGCTGAGAGCCAATTTCAGAATCAAGAGATCATTGATAAAATGCTAGAAATTTTGGAAGCTCTTCCATAATGCAAGACAAGTTGATATTATAACAAGGAGACTGAAAGAGTACATTTTGATTATAATCCTCATAATTATCATTATAATGTGTACTGTAGTAATGTGTAGTCAATGTCATAAAATCAGTCAATGCATTTATTAAATTGTATATTAATAAATAAACTGCTTATTTATTTATCAGATTTCTTAGTCAGTCACTTTAATTATAAAAATTTACACAAATACAAGACGGTAGCCAGGCCCATTGCCACACCAACACTGACTTCCATTAAAATAACTTATAATACTAATAATAAATCAACAAATAAGAGAAGAAAAGAAGATATGCATAACATTAAACATTAACAACCTTAAATAATGCACTATTAACATATACTAGTATACACACATGCACATGTAGTATGTAGTACATACTGTAATATATAATGTAGTTACATTGATCAGTTCAATAGTATCTATACTGTGTATACTAATAATGATAATATTAACTGTTGTGTAGTGAGAGTCTGAAGATGTCATTCATTACAAAGAGACCATCACCAAACTGTTTGAGATTAAAAGTCTCTGTGAAACTGAGCGGGGGATTATCATCAGTCTTAAATAGGGAGGGAGGAAGAGAGAGGAAGGGGGAGAAAGAGAGAGAAATCAATCAATTCATCATGTACTAGTGTACATGTACAATATGATGTCCTTTATTAGTTGTTTCAAGAAATTCTTGATCAACGTGCTACAGGTATATGTACGCATAGTCCTTCCTATGGTGGTCGGGGGTGGTCGGGAGAACCACTTCAACAAATGAACCGACCAGTTCATCACTTAGACCAACCATCCAATTAATACTAATAACCATACATAAAGCATGATATTGTAGTCTACTAGTATGGTGTACATAAATTTAAAAGGAACAATATTAGTCTCCAACTACCTCTAATTTTTTTCTAGGCAAAACCCTGTGTATATACATTTCAGCTACTTTCAGAATGTCACCTGACCTGACTATGAATGCTAAGAAAGACACATTACTCCTGTAAGTAATTAATTTAACTAATCAATATAAATCATCAGTTAGTACATCAGTTGATGAAAGCACCTGAGCGGCTAATAAGTGCGTGTGTTTAAAATGGTGGATTCGCGAAAAGTGAGTTTTACATTAGTATGCCCCAAAAATACACACAATGACCAGTTTTCACTATTAATTTACTACTACTACTATTATTATTATTATTATTATTATTATTATTATTATTATTATTATTATTATTATTATTATTATTATTATTATTACCTTTAGTCTTCCGACTACTACAATGAGTAGTGTTCCATCAATCGTTAGGTGAGAATCATAAGTTGATATTTCATGAACTACTTGCTTGAATGGAAGACTCTGAGAGAAGAGATATCATAATTAATAAAATAAAATAAAATATGTTGATAGCAACAGGATCCAGCCATACTCTCTACTGTGAGTAACTCTATTTAATGCACACCTTTATTGAATATTAACGAGTATCTGTAATAGTTGATTTTTGGGCGCATGTACATGTACATGTATTGTAATTTTTAATAGTAATACCATAAATCTTCTAAAAATCTATTTTTATTAAAAATAATTTAAAAATTAAACAAAATATGCTGCATAAACATTAATTATACACCCCAAATTAAAACCATTAAATGCATTTAAAAATTAATATCTGAAAGTGTCGTCAGTGTATTAAACTATGTAGTAATTTTATTTATTTATTTATTATTACGATATATTTGAGTAGAATCTTTTCAGGTCCTGTGTACGTCTCTCCCTCAAAAGTCAGTTTCGATTCTGGCCTCTGAAAATAATAAATTATTTTAAAAATTAAATTTAAAATAAATAAATCTTACGAAAAGTTGTCCCAAAGTAGTCCTATCAGAGTCAAAAGCCTGATAAAATGTTGCAAGGAATTGCTCCGCCATTGCTTTTATGTCTGGGGGACTTGCCTCAGGCTGGAGCTCCTTTTTGGATATACCTTCCTCTAGTACGTTGGCAGCCATTTTGATTACTTCTTTTTACTGCGCATGCGCAGAGATGTACCTATTTATGACGTAATCAAAACTGGGCGGAGCCTAAAAGTAGGTGTGATTTTAAGGGCGGGGCTAATTTTAGATCTCGAGAATAGAGAGCGACCATTTTATTTGCTTTATCTTTTCAAATCTACTCACTGGAGTACTCCTCCCGTCTTTATTAGGAACTGGTAAGGAGGGAAGGATCCATATTTACTGTATAACCTCTCTCCTTCCTTCTCTAGGTAGTTTATTAGCTCAGAAAATTGTCAAGTTTGAGGACCTTTCACACTTTAAACTGGGTATGTGAACCAGTAGGACATTATTATCATTAAAAATAATCTCTCTTTTTTTCTCCTTCAGTTCAAGGTATCCACCATGTCTTCAGGTGGTGGTACCCCATACATTGGTAGTAAGATCAGTTTAATCTCAAAGGCTGAGATAAGATATGAAGGTGTTCTTTATGATGTGAACACTAAAGAATCCACAGTAACGCTATCTAAAGGTAATTGAGTTATTATCATTATCATTAGATTATTATTATCATTATTATTATTGTTATTATCATTATTATTACTTTGGTGTTGTTAATGATTATTTTGACGGTTGTAACAGTGTGTTTGTCACTAGTTGACAGTTTATGTTCATTGACAATATGTAATCACTCCACATTGTGTGTCTGCTAATATGTACATAATAATGCATATCACTATCTCTTTGAACACTGTCATCAGTTTACATGATCTAGTGGTAGCTTTCTAGTCTTAATCATTCTCTCTCTCTCTCTCTCTCTCTCTCTCTCTCTCTCTCTCTCTCTCTCTCTCTCTCTCTCTCTCTCTCTCTCTCTCTCTCTCTCTCTCTCTCTCTCTCTCTCTCTCTCTCTCTCTCCTCTCCTCTCCTCTCCTCTCCTCTCCTCTCCTCTCCTCTCTCTCTCTCTCTCTCTCTCTCTCTCTTCCCCCCTCCCTCCCCCTCTTCCTATACAGTCAGATCTCATGGTACTGAAGGACGACCAGCTACTAAGCCGATCCAGCCCCGGAGTGAGGTCTACGAGTACATTATATTTCGTGGTAGTGACATTAAGGACCTCAGCGTTAATGAAGTGGCTAAACCATCAATAGAGGAGCAACAGGATCCAGCCATACTCTCTACTGTGAGTAACTCTATTTAATGCACACCTTTATTGAATATTAACGAGTATCTGTAATAGTTGATTTTCAATTTTCATGTACTTGTACTGTCATTTTTAATAGCAATAATTAAAATTACTTGTACATGTACAATGTATATTTCTTCTTTTCCATAGCATTCAACTCCGCCTGTTTCTCAAGCCCCTCCCCCTCCAGTATCTCAACCTCCACCTCCTGCTCCTCCCACCTCTCAACCTCCTTTAGCTCCACCCACAACTCAAGCCCTGCCCCTAGCCCCACCCACCAGCGTCCCATCAACTCAACCACCAGCATCAAGTGTATTACACAATCCACCAGGTCTACCCTTACAGCCCCCGCCCCCTCACTCCATACCTCCAATATTCAACACTCCTTATTCTCTGGGTGGGTTGGGCTCTGGTTCTTCTTATAATCCGTTTGGTTTACCGTATTTCGGACGTCCTCCTTTACTGCTCAGTCAGCAGACTGGAGGTGGGCTCCTGGGTGGCCCTGCAACCTCAAAAGTAATATTATTAAATTAATTAATTTTAATTAATTTGTGTTTAATTAATATTAATTTATTTGTAGTCATGTACATGCACAGAATGCTAATTAAATTTTAAAAGTATTATTTATGTCAGTTTTTAATGATTTCTGGTAGCCATTTTGTTAACAAACTTGTATATACACGTACTTGTATGTACATGTACATGTGGTTCTTTAAATACACGTATACATTTACCGGTCAATATTTAACTCAGTTGCACTTATACATGTATGTATAGTATTAGGTATTGTTATATACATGTAAGTACATGTACATGTATATTTATTGCATTTGCTTATAAAAGTGCTATATAATATTTTTCATTATCTCTAATTATTAGTTTTTAATTATTATTATTATTGTCCTTATAAGGGTATTGCTGTTCCTCAGCGTATCAGTTCATCAGTCTCCTCATCTCAGACCACGCCCCCTCACTCTGAAGGTGTGTCCAGTATTATAGCCTCATCCTCATCTCCTGTCGGAGGGAAGGCGGGGACTAATGTTGAGACCACACCCCCTACTATACCATCAGTCAGTAGCATTGATACTTCAACTCCTAGTTCAACCAGTAAGAGAGAGAGAGGGAGGGAGGGAAGAGAGAGAGTGTGTGTGATAGTATATGTACATGTACATGTCGCAAATGATATACTTTGTGGTAGTTGGTTTTGCTTCAATTTTGTAAATACACTATTTTATTATTAACAATTTGTGTATAGTAGAGAATTGTGAATTTCTTGATTAGAATTTTTTTTTCAATACATTAATAAAAGAATTGGCATACTTCTGTGTGAATTTTTGATTAAAATGGTGTGCCAATAGAAAATCGATTTGATCAATTTTGGGAATTTTAAAAACCTCTCTCCCTCTCCCCCAGTCTCTCCATTACAGTATTCAGTATCAGCAGTGGATTCCTCCAGTAGTCGTCCGTCAGTTAATGATACTAGTGCTCCAGTCCCACCCCATGAGGTCACTAGCACTACCAATGACTCATCACGGGATAATGAGGAGACTGAGGAACCAGCTGCTGGGAATAAGAACCCAACCAGTCAACAGACTGGAGGAGGAGGAGGAGGAGGGCAAAGGAAGAAACAATCAGGAAATAGAGAAAGAGGAACTGGTGAGTTTACTACATGTGTATACAAATTACATATGTAGTGATCTTTACAATGCTTAAGATGTTTATCTACAAGCTTGTACAAGCTTGCATGTTTAGCTTTTGGAGTAACTTTTAAAATTCATAAAAATTCCAATTTTGATCGGAATCAGCTCAAACTTTCTATGCAACATAAGAACATGTATATGTATCAGGAAATGTAATAAAAATTGAGAATTCTTTACTTTTCATTTTTGGCAAAATTTGGCCTGTGACCCTGTACTATAGTACAGGGACTTTTGTCCGATTTTATAGTACAGGGACTTTTGTCCGATTTTAGAGTAACTTTAAACATTCGTAAAAAAATTCAATTTTGATCAGAATCAGCTCAGACTTTCTACACAACATAAGTACATGTATATGCATCAGGAAATGTAATAAAAATTGAGAATTCTCTACTTTTCATTTTTGGCAAAATTTGGTCCGTGACCATGTACTATAGTGCAGGGACTTTGGCCCAATTTTGAAGCAACTTTGATCAGACTTTTTACATTATTACTTATACATACTGTACATATATTTAATGGTATTGTTTTTATTATTCCTCCTGTCCCCAGGTGCCCCCAGAGGTGGTGGTGGTTCCAATCGTCAGTCTCGCCCTCACTCCGGTGGCCAGCGACCACCTTCAGACTCCGCCCCTCCTAATGGCGTCGTTGCTAAGCAACCACTTCGATACGACAGCGACTTTGACTTTGACATAGCGAACGCTCTCTTCTCCAAAGAATCACTTGAAAAGGAAATAAAAGAGAAATTAAAGATAACTACAGAGATTGCTCCAACTGGAGAGGAGACTGTGGATCAGACGTCAAGAGGGGCGGGGCCAGGTGATGAGGTGGGTGTGGTCAGTGAGAGGGCGGGGCAGGAGGAGGAGCCAGTTGGTTCATACAATAAGGAGGTGTCGTTCTTTGATAATATCTCGTGTGAAGCTAACAGCTCATCAAAGTAAGAGAGAGAGAGAGTTACTGTATACATGTACATTACTGTATCATGATTGTTCATTTTTGTGGAAGATTTTATTCAAAATGATTAACAACAGTATAGTTGCAGTAGCAACTGAGCTAAAACACAAAAGAATTAAAAGCAAAAGAGCACAAAAGAATATGTAATTTTTTTCTACATGTTCATATGTACGTGCAGATTACTGTATCATAATGTTGCTGTATGTTAGAAAATTTTCTCGTTAATTTTTGTGGATTTTATGCAAAATAATTTATTGACTGTAGTACCAGTAGCATCTGAGCTTTTAAAACTAGAAACATGTATGTGAAATTGTGCAAATTTAATTTTTGAAAATTTACCCGATACATGTGTACGAACATGTACATGTACATGTACATGTACATGTACATGCATGAGAAATACTTATTGCCAATCTTCCATCTTTCTCTCTCTTTCCTTTAGGAGGTACGACAGAAATGCTGAGCGTGCGTTAAACACGGAAACATTCGGAATAACGTCAAGAGGTCCTCCACGAGGTAGAGGAAGAGGAGGGAGGGGCCAAAGGGGGCGTGGCTACTCTAGAGGAGGGCGTGGTGGTTATGACCGATCTTATCGCTATGACGATAGCTATGGTTACGACGGACGCCAAAGGGACGGTGGTTATGGCGACCATAGTCAAGGGTACGGTGGTAGGCCTCAAAGGGGGCGTGGTCGAAACGATTACCATGGTGACAACTATCGGAGTCGGAATAACTACTACGACAACTATCACGGGCAGAACAGTTACCAAGGCGAAGGTTACCGTGGTCGCAGCGATCGCCGCGGCAACAACTATCGTCGATCTGATTATTCAAGAAACAGGGATGATTAGTACGAAAGCAGCTTGGTCTGCTGTCATGATAATTATGAGAAACTTTTGATTCGTTATGTCTCGATTGTTTCATCGCAAACCTCTCTCTCTCTCTCTCTTTGATGTTGACGCTTTTTCTTTTTAAATTTTGTCGAACGAAGGAACTTAAAATATAAGAGTAAAAACTTATTACGATTAAAATATCAACAGCTACTGAAAATAGTATGTATTATCAATCAAATATAATTGTAAAAATAAAATATAATATTATGAACGAAACTTAACATTTTTTGAATGAGACAACCACTTGATGAAGATGTGCATGTACATTTAGTTTGTTGTGGTTCCTCTAAATTTGATTTATGCAATTTTATACATTATTCACTTTTCTTTTGCTCTCTCAATCTTTGTTACTAATCTAATAAACTACTAATATATCCTTTTCTATTTATATGATGATACCATCACTTCTCTCTCTCTCTCTCTTTGTTGTTATTATAATTAATAATTATTGTTGATATCTTTTAAGAAAAATCATAAATTAATTCTAAAAAATCAACATAATAATAATTAAATAACATTAATTAATGAATTCTTGAAAGTCTGACGAATTTGATCAAAAATTATCTTCACATTCTCTCACTGCATATCCATTGGTGGTGGAAGTCCCTGAGGTGGTCCTTGATTATATCCCATAGGGGGTGTGGTCTGAGCCCCTCCAGCCCCGCCCATATATCCGGGTGGACCCCCGGGGTACATTCCAGGGGGCGGTCCCTGGGGGTGTGGCATGCCTGGTTGCGATGATTGCTGTAGACGTGCTTGTTGGCTTCTGATGAGTTTCTCCTGATGGAGTCGCAGCATCTGCTGGCGTCTGTCAACGTTGAGTCTTTGCTGAGCGTTTTGATAATTACCTGAGGAAGAGAGAGAAACAGAATTAGTACATTTTCTTATACATATTGATGTCCTTATGTTATGTAGAAAGCTTGAGTCGATTCCAACTTCAATTTTTGAAGTTATGGCCATTTTTTTTAAATGGCCAAAATCTGAAAAATACCCAAGGCTATAGCCTATGGTTTTTTTCCAAAAAATGGCTCCAAAATCACCCCAAATTTTTATTACATTTTTTGATACATATTGATGTCCTTATACTGTGTAGAAAGTTTGAGTCAATTCCGACTTAAATTTTTCAAGTTATGGCTATTTTAAAAAATAGCCCAAAATCTGTAAAATACCCAAGGCTATAGCCCATGGTTTTTTTCAAAAAATGGCTCCAAAATCACCCAAAATTTTTATTACATTTTCTGATACATATTGATGTCCTTATGCTCTGTAGAAAGTTTGAGTCGATTTCAACTAAAACTTTTAGAGTTACGGTCATTTTAAAAACAAACACTCAATCAAAAAGTCCCCCTACCTTGTCCCCCAGTGAGCCAGGGTCCAGGGGCGTATCCCTTCATGTTATACTGTGAGGCAGCGGATGAGGGAGGCGTGCCCCACTGAGTCCCAGACGACGGAGGCGGTGGGGTATTACCCCACTGGGACGATGGTACTCCGGTCGATGGCATGCGGGTCATTCCACTGGTGGGCGGGACAGGAGATGTACTGGAAGGAGGCGGGGTCATGTTCTGGGGGGCCGCGAGCGTCTGATTGGGTGGAGCTCTCTGAGACTGCAAGAGATTACTGCTACCTGGGGACTATAAGAATACAGAGTTATACTAGAATATACTGGGGTGTACTGAAGTATACTAGAGTGCACTGACTTACTGGTAATATTTGGTGAATGTCAACACGTGGATCTGCCAGACCAGCCAAGAAGACAAGATTACGATGAAGGATCTGTTGATACCTGCATATGAAGAAAAGAATTAATATAGCATAGTCTCTCTTAATGGACACTCTCTATAGCGTACACCTCCATTTAACGGACAGCACCTAGTGTACCAATTACATTCCTTACTGTATAAAATAACCTCCACATAAAGGACACCTCTGTATAACAGAGACACTTTCAAAGTGTCCATTATATAGAGGCTACAATTCCATTCCAATCACTTACTGTATGATGTCCATAGACTTTCCTTTCAAGTTTTGTGATTCAATAAGAGCCTACAAAAATAATAAAATTTCAAATTAAAAAAGAAAGAAGATTGAGAAATAGAAAGTCCTTTAGCACATGTACAGTACATTAAACAATTCTCATTTTGGACTAACAATGTACATGTACATGAATTATGTAAACTGTAAAATAACATTAACAACACATGTAACCACATGTACAGCTAGCTGAAAGGTACATGTAAACAAACTCACAAACACAAACAATAATATGCGTACATGTACATGTGTTATGAATTTTAAGGTTGTGGTTGTGTATATGTACATGTACATAAAAATCTAATTAAGAGTGGGCAATAAATAAATACCACTAAAGTGTGTGAGGTATGTACGATAGGCCATTACCTTAATGATTTGAGCATTTTCATCCAACAGCTGCAGCAGAGAGTGGGGACATCAAAGGATTAGATCAATGACCAAATATGGTAATGGTGCATATTTTAATGTAAGGGGACGCGAGAGAGGGAGAGAGGGTGATTGGGCGGGTTATAAAGGAGATACTGACCTTCTGTATCTGTTGGGGACTCGCTTCAGAGCCTCGTCCGGCCGTGAGGCTGGAAACTGGACCGACACCACTGGCGCTGGTAGCCATTTTCACTGCATTATAATATTACTCAGTGCCTGCAATTAGAATAATTACGGTGATACTTTACCCACGTGAATACACGTGGGTCATCACCTGGCTAAGGCTAAAAGCATAAGAGGTAATAGCTCTTAGTTCCAGATCCTTATTTTACTACTTCTCTGTCCCTTTTTACTATTTTAAGAAAGAAGCAATGAAGAAGGCTGTCCCTATGATAATACAGTGATGCTTGATGGGATACTCTCCTCGCTGATCAAAGTGATCATGACTGGAATAGTAATATCTTCATTAAAGATTGGTTCTTCTGGACTTGTGAGGCTTCGAGTAGATTTTTAATTTCTCTCGTTATGTGTCTCGTACCACAAGAAGATAAGAGGTAAAGCAGATGCATGTAAATGTAATTAATTAATCAATTAATTACTATACTGTAGTAGTACAGTTAATTAATTTTAGAATAAAATATATTGACATATACTGGGATTTGTGGTGAAAAGTTTTTTGGTGGATCACCCATCTGATTTTGTATTCTTGTGAAGCTAAAAAATAAAAGAAACTAAAAAATAAAGGAAACACAAAATTGGGAAATTTGTCACGTCAGCATTTTTTGTTGTCGTGATTTGGATTCTACTTTTAGTTACCAAAAATTTTAAAACTAATTCAAGTGTTTAAGTGCAAAATCTTAACAAAAAAATAAATTAATATAAGTACTTGGAATTCATTAAAAGTACTGGTCTAAGTTGAAATCAATGTCGTGTTTTTCTTTTATACTTTTCTTCCATTCTCCACACAAACTATCAGCAGCTGCTCTTGTCGGTCCTCCTTGACAAGCTAACCCGTTGAGGAATTTACAGCAAAGCACTTCAACTTCTCTCTTGTTTTTCTTTAAATCCAAGTTACTTTTAAAATCACCGACTATCATGCTAAAATCTGCTTTCTCTCGTACCTCTTCTGATATTATGCCACTTGAGAATAATTCCGGTACGATGCTCTTAATTGAATTTTTTGTTGCACTTTTTAAAACTGCAAATTTACTGTCCAGAACTCCTTTGATAGTCTCATTAAGTTTACTAACATTGCTAGCAGATACGGTCATTCCCCTACTTGCTCCTTCTCCTTCTCTTTTTAGCTTTTCACTAATACTTTCTGCTAAGTCTCCATTTTGTGATTTTTCCAATGCACTTATAACATCTCTAAATGTAGCTCTATGATAGATAGCTAGCCATTTATTAAAGAGAACTCTTTTTTGCTCATCTATATCATCTTTATTTTCTGCCTTGATCTTGTCAATATGGTGCTCCTCAATTCCTGGAAGGTTTTGTGCAAAATTAGTCCACTTAGTGAGAGTCCTTAAAAAGTCAACCAGCTCCAGGACTGTTGGTCTTCTTTCCATTATTTATTTTTGCTGACTCCACAGTCATGTGACTGGCACATGATCAATAGTATCCTATAACAACTGAAGCCCATTCATATAGCAGTGTGGTTACTATATAAGGTCATCGGATGGATAAGTGTTTAAAATTACATTAAGAAACTGAATTAACACATGTAAATGTGTAGCTATTTATAAAAATAGAAAATTAGAATTCTCACACACTCTCTCTAGTCAAATGTCATATCAACCCCCAGACTTTCTTTCAGCTCTCTCTTCCATTCGTCTCCTAGCTTATTAGCGGCAGTCTTTGCTGGACCTCCTTCACTTGCTATTCCTTTTAGAAAGTTCTGACAAAATTCCCTCACTTCTTCTTTTGTGTCTGAAAGGTCCAGGTTACCTTTGAAATCGCTGATAATACCCTCATATGTCGGATTCCCCTGTACTTCATTAGTTATGATCCCTTTAGCAAATAATTCTGATGCTATCATTGACAGTGAGCGCTTCGTAGCATTTTGAACTTTAGCAAAATTCTTATCTAGTACCTCTTTGATGGCATCAATGATTTTGCTCACATCAACGGCAGTTTTAGCCACTGGAGGAGTAGCTCCTTTCTCCTTCTTCTTCTCTCCTTTATCTACTTCGACAGATTCTCCAGTGACCATTTTCCTAACATTAGCTGCTAGCACTGGTTGTTCTGCTATCTCTAAAGCATTCACCACATCATTATAACTAGCCTCTGGGCATATGGCCAGCCATTTATTGAACAATTCTCTTTTCTGTGGCCCAATCTGGTCTCTATTCTGAGCTTGTATGAGTTGAATATGAGCCTCTCTAATGCCAGGAAGATTCTCACCAAATGGGACCCAGTCTATGAGATCTTTCAACCATAAAACCAAATCTCTTACAACTGGCCTCTCCTCCATATTTCTCTACTGGTAATAAACTGCTGACTGTTGTTTACATATAATGGTTGCTACCTACACATACCTGTATATGAGTGGTAGGGTCAGATAGGGTTGCATAGTAATGATTACAATTACAAAATAAATGTACATATTCATTATGCCAGCATTTCTGACATATTTTTACACCTTTCTTTAGGTTGTTTGTGTACAGTACATATATAAATGTACATGTTGCCATTGGCATATGTTAATAGGAAGTTTCCAGCTACTGAATATGTGGATCATCATCATTGTTATTTTAATTTCATTTTTAAAAGTTAATTTTAACGGCAAACAACACAACTTATTATGAGTGAGTGACAACAGTACATACATGAACTATGAAATATTGAATAGCTTTATGTGTACAAGTTCTATTTCCCCGTGACTTTATTTAATTCACATCGACCATTTCTTCCTTATCAGCCTCCTCCTGTCCATCCACCATTTCCTCACCAGCTTTGGCCACTGGCAAAATTCTTAACTTCTCCTTTACTTTCTTAACCAGTTCCTTTTCATTTGCTTTTTCCAATGCATCAATAACATGTCCCCAGTTAGCTTCTGGATAGACTCGCAACCATTTCCCAAATAAAGCAATCTTCCTGTTGTCAGCCCTATTCTCCTCATCTTCTATTATATCAAGGTCATGTGGCCTTATTCCAGGAAGAAACATACCAAACTTCTTCCACCTTGATAGCTCATCTAGCCACTCCAGTAGCTCACTAACTTCTGGTTTCCTGTCCATAGTGTGTCAATGACAAGTAAAGAGAAAGGAATACACTAGTATATAATCCTGTTTACTGATTTTATTGTTTTTGCTGACGTGTTCTATGCTGTGCTGTCCACTATAGTTATAAATACATTCCCAGTTCAGCCTACCTCCTCAAATATGCACATGCTATGAATAGCAGGTATCGTTAACCATATATGGAATATGTACATTAGTACATGTACATATGTATATTATATTTATTATACAGCATACTTGTAATACATGCATATATTGTATAATGTACATGTATATGTATATCATAGCTGCTATATAGTCTATGTACACATGTACTGTAATACAGGCATATGTGGTATATATGTGTGTGTGTGTACATATATGTACATGTAGTTTTGTTATTGTTTGAGTTATAAATACAATACAATCTCTCGGGGTACATGTAGAGCAGATATCTATTTTAATAGGTACATGTGTATCATCTATAAATCTTCATGTATCAGTGTATCTTCTATAGTTATAGACTACTACTTGTACTATAGAAATGGCACTATATGGTATCATGCACGTGCTTAATCCATAAAAAGATTTGAAATGTTTATTCTTAGCAACAAAGAATATATACAAGCATGAGTGACAGTAATTATATTATAATGAAATAATGGATAGCTTTTGTTTTATAATTTCTTCATTCCTGTGCTTTCATCAACCGACTCCATCACTCCTAACTTCTTCTTTACTTTCTTGACCAGTTCCTCTTCCTTTGCTTTTTCCAATGCTTTAATAACATGACCCCAATTAGCCTCTGGACAGACTCTCAGCCATTTATCGTACATGGCAATCTTTTGAGCTGGTATATCCCCGACCTTGTTTTTGTCTATAATGGCAACGAAATGCTTCTCCATTTTTGGCAGAAATAAAGCGAATGTCTGCCAGTCCACTAGCTCCTGAAGCCAATCCAGTAGATCAGGCATGTCTGGTTTCCCATCCATCGTCAAGTATAACTGGTAGAGTATATACAGAGAGAAAGGGCAGTAGGTTTAATGGTGTTTACTGATTTTATTTTTTTGCTGACGTATTGATGCTGTGCTGGACATAGTTATGAATACAGCCTACCTCCTCAAATATGCACTTGCTATGAATAGCAGATATCATTAACCATATATGGAATATGTACATTAGTACATGTACATGTATGCATACATGTACATGTATAATCTAGTATTGAGCCTATGTACACATGTACATGTACATACACCTAATACATGTATAATGTACATGTACATGTACATACAATAGGTGTAGCTTTACTGTATGTTCATGTTATTGTTTGTACAAGCTCTTGATCTATTTCCTCATAGGCTAGTTTGCTCTGTGTTAATAGCCAGTTATTATAATCAACATACACACATGCTGTATCTATATAGTATATATTGAATCTTCATAGTTATTCACATTACATGTACATGTATATATTGAGTCACTTTATTGTGCAAAGTTTGAACTGATTTTGAGCACAAATTATGAAGTTATGAGTGGCTGATTTTAATGCAAATTAAATAATTTTAAGTGACAATTTTTTTGTCGAAAGATTATTCAAAAAATAGATTAACTAAAATTATAAAATTCATACAAACAAACACATCATGCTATGATAGAAAACAGTACAAATAATTAATACAAAAATAATAATAACAACAATAATAACAACAATAATAATAATAATAATAATAATAATAATAATAATAATAATAATAAACTTACTAATAATATGATAGCAGAACTAGACTAATATTATTATTATAAAACGTTAAATTCAAAATGAAGTGTCTTCAAGACTTCTTCCCTCCATTCCTCCGCTATCTCTCGTGCATGTGATTCAGGAGGTCCTTTCTGAGTCAGTATACTCTCAATAAACTTCTTGCAGTGTTCCTCTATCGCTTTCACGGACTTCTTAAAGTTCAGTCCGGCCTCAAACTCTCGTATCAAGCTGTCATAGCTTGGGTACTCCTTCACTGATTCTGAGAGGAGACCACGGGCGAACATTTCTCGGGAAATTTGTGAAATGTTCTCTTTCAGTGATTTATTGAATGTAGCGTAGTTGGTTCGTATCACTTCAGTTATTATTCGTCTTAATTTATTAATATCAACTGATGGAGGGGGAGGAGCAACAGCAGGAGGACCTGTAATATAAGAAGACATTAATAATTATAGTGTCTCATGTTTTGGTACTGCACTATAGTACAGGGTATTTCATCAAAAATGAAAAGTAGAGAATTCTCCATTTTCATTACATTTCCTGATGCATATACATGTACTTATGTTGTGTAGAAAGTTTGAGTTTATTCCGATCAAAATTGGATTTTTTATGAATTTTTAAAGTTACTCAAAAATCAGGCCAAAGTCCCTGTACTGTAGTACAGGGTTACGGGCCAAATTTTGTCACAAATGAGTAGAGAATTCTCCATTTTTATTACATTTTCTGATGCATATACATGTTCTTATGTTGCGTAGAAAGTTTGAGCTGATTCTGGTCAAAATTGAATTTTCTACGAATTTTAAAGACACTCAAAAATTAGGCCAAAAAAGTCCCTGTACTATAGTACAGGGTTGCAGGCCAAATTTTGTGAGAATTCTATACATGTATTCTTGTCATCTAGAGTTAAAATTGTATTTAAGTTGCTCCAATAATCCTCCCTCCCTTTAATGTCTCACTTTTAATTTCAAATACTTTTCCTTTCCTCAGTCTCTCTTCAATGTCAGCTGCTAGTGCATTCTCTTTCAGCCTCTTAAGAGCACTAATGACATCAGTCCATGTACCAGGTGGATATACCCCAG